GAGAGAGAGAGAGAGAGAGAGAGAGAGAGAGAGAGAGAGAGAGAGAGGAGGACGAGGAGGACGAGGAGGAGACAGGAGGGGGGTGTGGGGATCTGATTTCTTGTTTTTGTTGTTTTTTCCTAAATGCCCTGCGCGTTGGCGGGGGGCAAGTGTTCGAGTTCCTCGCCACCTCGCTCCGAGGCGCGTTTAAAGTCTTAAAAGGTTTTGACGCGCACGCGGGGGATTTGAACGTCCCCGTTTGAATGCGAATGCGCGTTCCGCGCGTTCAAATGGGAACATAGATGGGCAGACCGAAAATGGCAGTTGTGACAACTTCAGAATTGTGTTCCAGTCTTGTCCTGTTGCCTGGAATGCACATGTCTTATAGACTCGTACCATAATGATCCTTTTTTTTGTTTTCCTTTGTTTTTTAATCCTTTTCAAGTGAGGCCTGGTAAATCTTTGTCTGGTATCTGAAGGCAAAACTTTCCCGATTAGCATATTTCGCCGTGTACTCTATTTGAATGTCAATGAGAACACAAGAAGTGACAAATGCATCACAATGCCGGTGGCAGGCGGTGGTTTTCCACATGTGCCCAGTGGTCATATCTGAAGAAGACACAGTCTGTGCCGCCTCAATCTTGATGGCGACTGCTGTAATGCACAGGAGTAGCAGACAGAAGCTTGCAGAAATGCAGGCTGTTTCGCACAGCGTGACAGCGATCATCTCTGGACACGTGGTCTGTGCCTCGGAGTCTATCAGATCTCTTATCTCCGCGGGGGAAACTTCATTCTTCTTTTTCAATGGCCTTGTTCAATGCGCACGAGCACCAGACAGATTGGGGGGCCGAAGGGGAGGGTGTTTCTTGAGCTAGCCAGACAGATTGGGGGGCAGAAGGGGAGGGTGTTTCTTTCGCGAGATTATCGTTGTTGCCATGGTTATCTTTTATACCATGGCAGCGGCGGACAAGTGAACCGGACAAGTCCGGACACCGGAAACCGGATTTCCTGGTTTCATCCGAACGTCCGGATTTCCGGTATTTTCCGGCTAATCCGGACATGTCTGGATCAGCCTGTCCGGATCCCTCTCCGGATGGGTGTACATGTCCGGATTATTAAAAAAAAAAAAAAAAAGACTTCTATACAAAGTACTGCAAATGTGTTGAAAACAACGAAAAGGCCATGTGGCACAGGTAGGGGCGGGGAGGGGAGGTTATAGTGAGTACATGTCAACAACCAAGATGAGGGGGAGGAGGGCGAAGACGTGGAGGAGCAGCAGGAGGAGGGCAAAGACGTGGACGGGGAGGAGCGGGAGGAGGATGAAGACGAGGAACATGCCAACAAAGTTCTGGAAAAAAAGGAAAAAGGGTGCCACGTGGCATGAGCAGGGAAGGGAGTGGGGGAGGTTATATAGCAAGTACATGACGATGACCAAGACGAGGAGGAGGAGGAGGAGGAGCGGGAGGAGGACGCAGACATGGAGGAGGAGGCGGATGGAGGAGCAGAAAGGAGGAAGACCATGACAACAAAACGACGAGAGAGAGAGAGAGAGAGAGAGAGAGAGAGAGAGAGAGAGAGAGAGAGCTGCTTCCACTGCTCCTTTCTGGGCTCCTCGCGTGGCCTTCGCTGCACCCACTGCCAGCTCTCCTGCTCCTGCTCCGCTTCTGCTCCGTGCCTGCTATGGCCGCCTCGTTGCCCTGCTTCTTCCTCCCTATGACACTGGTGGTAGTGGCAGGCATGCAAGCTCAAACGTTGTTGTGGGAGGGGGGGCGGCCGAACCCGCAAGGCGGGAGGATGAATTCAAAGACTGTGCCCACTACGAAGCTGCCACGATGCAAGGATGACATTCAAGCGGGCAGAAACATAGAAGGAAGAAAACTTCCCACAGGCAAAAAAAAMAAATTCTGGCCCTACCGGATGCCCCTTCAGGGCCAAAAAAAATCTGCTCGTATTTTTTGGCTGGCGGCGAGACGAAACGCCCTGGACAGTGAAAAAAAAATTGGCCGTTGGCCAAAGGGTGTGGAATCCGGACCGGGATCCGGACACGTTCACCGGACACCGGACACCGGACGGTCTGGATCCCTGTCCAGAGGTCCGGATCCCTGTCCAGAGGTCCGGATCGCTGCCATGGTTTATACTACTTTAATAGTGTTTGTGGTTGTGACAGGTGGCAGCTGCAATGGACAGCTGCTGCGGCTATGTTCATGTGACAGTGGGTAGTGCTGGCATGACGATTGCAGAAGAACAGTGATGTGAACAAGCGTTGATTTCTTTGACATGCAGATGCCATAACACAGCACAACGAAAGTTTTGTTTCAGTAAGGGCGGCGTTTCACGACACGACATTCTAAATGTATCTGGTCACGATTGTGGTCCGAATACGCTCAGAATGTTGGATGTACCCAATGCATTTGTGCGCTTCGATACTGTCGAAATACATTGTACAATGTTGTGTAGTGGAACGATGCTGTAATTGTGCACATCAGCTCCCACTATAACTGGAGAGCCTTTTGCTTAAGGCCTCCCTTGTGTTTTCTTAAAAAAAAACTATGAAAAAGAAACTAGAGTACAAAGATTAAAAAATAACAAGATATAGCCAGCATGGCTCCGCCCGCGGCCCAAAGGGGTGGGGAGGGGACAGTATTAGTATTTCGATACCTGGAACAGGTCACGGCCGTTCGAAAGGAGCTGCGACAAACAGTTGCAGTGAAAAGGATAGAAGAGTTATCGTCCCAAAGGAACGGCAGGCCGAAGTCTCACTCGGGAATTGACTGTCGAACAATCGAGCAATTAACTTACAATCAAC